AGCGTGCTCCTGGGAGCAAGGATGTCCAGACTTCCTCTCATGTACTTTGTGGACATGTTATTTAAAAGTTGAAAAGATTTAGGAAGAAAACTTGGGTAACCCATTAGTCAGTGTTCAAACTTCATGTTTGGCTTATCCAATTTATAATAATGCTTTTGACAGTTCTTTCCATTTTCATATTGTAAAAATAACACATGGCATTATAGACGATAAGTTGGAACTTTTTGCATCAGTTATGAGACTCTAGGGCAAGTTGAATGCTCCTTTTACCCATTGACTCATACTACCGTCCACCCAAGACTGTGTGGTCAGTACTTGAGAGCCCTTTCTCTCGCCTTTGTCGGGGACAAAGAGCCTGGTCGCATATGGGTTGTGCTCTGAGCTGCACACTGCAAAGTCTGCAATTCTAAACCACCAGCCTCCCTGCAGGAGAAAGGTGGGGCTTTCTTCTCCACAAAGATTTGCAGTCTCAGAAACCCACACAGTGGCAGTTCTACCCTGTCCCGTAGGGTCTCTGAGTCAGCATTGACTCCATGGCAGGGAGTCAGGGTTGTTGGATTTTGGCAGTTACCAGAACCCCTAGAACAGCGGTTCTCAACCTGGGGGTTGCGACCCCTTTGGGGTCAAACGACCCTTTCACAGGGGTCGCCTGATTCATAACAGTAGCAAAATTACAGTGATGAAGTAGCAACGAAAATAATTTTATGGTTGGAGGATCATCACCACATGAGGAACTGTATTAAAGGGTCGCGGTATTAGGAAGGCTGAGAACCGCTGTCCTAGAATAAGGGAAAAGTAAAGGAGGTGGGTTGTGTACATAACCTGTGTTGGTCTGATCTCGATCGTGGGCACAGATGATCCTAACTGACAGAAGGGATAAAGTAGAAAGAAAATTTTTTGAAAATGATGATGGCAACATCTGTATGTACAAATGTGCATAACACAGTGGTTGTAATGTCACTGGTATTCAGAGGCCAGCAGCGTCACCCAAAGTAGGTTTCAGCAGAGCTTCCAGACAAAGCACAGACTATGAAGGACTCGGCGGTCTACTCTGGAGGAATTAGTCACAATCTACACAAAAAGCTTCAGAGTTAAACCTACCAAGAAAAGTTCAAGTCCCATTTTATAACTCTCTCGAAATACGCCCCAAAGTTCAAGTAACTTTGCACACAATACCTTGATTGAACATGGCCAGTGACATTGTTTCCAGCATCCCAGCAACACACAAGCCACACAGTACAACAAAGTGACAGACAAGCGGTGGCTGGGTGTTGTAGGACGGAGCAAATGAATCAGTAGATCACTGCTTGGGAAACTAGCTCCTCTTGGTCACAGGGAAATATCACTGAAAGAGAGGGAGGAAGACGCTGTGGTACTAGGCTGGAATTGGAGGTGTCTGTCTGAGCTCAGAAGGAGCCCTTGTGGCCCCGTGGATTGAGTGTTGGGCTGCTAACCGAAAGGTTGACAGGTCATCCCACCAGTCTACTTCCATAGAGATTGACGGTCTCGGAAACCCTCAAGAGCCTATCTGTCTTGTCCTGTAGGATTGCTGTGAGTCTGAATGACGTGGACGGCCATGAGTTCACAATTTAAAGAAAATACATTGCCAGATGCCAAAAGCAGTGATACTACTCTCCCCCCCCCCCACTATAGCCGTGAGGACAGGCAGTACCCAGATTTTGGTTTCTAAATACCGTTCCCCACTGATAGGATTCGGGGTGCCCAGGGCTGGGACAGGAAAGGTACGAGGAAAACCTGTAGCATCTTTTGCTAGAAACGAAAGTGCTCCAGGTAGGTGGGGATGTGTCAAAAGCTCCCAGTAGCTAGCTTGAAGGACCAGCCAAGTTTTGGAGGGATTTGAGTCAAAAAGAATACTGGTGATAGATTATCACACACTGATTTTTAAAAAGAAAGAAAACTTCGTGAGTTCATACTGAAACTGAAAACAGAGCGGGTTGGCTTGAGCTTAAAGGACACAGAAGACAATGGAGTTAGTGCACTGGCAGTGACAACACAGGTAGAAAGCTGATGTGCAGCCACAGATGCAATTCACGAGTGAGTCAGCCTTGACTTGTCTCTCGATGCCACACCCATTAAGAGATCCTTGGGGAGCAAGATCATCACAGTTTGAAAGTAGCACCCCACAACTTTCTTGTTAAAGAAAAAGGTATGTTCCTGTAGAAAACTCTGGTAACCCCTTAGCCCAGGGGTCCTCAAACTACAGCCCGCATGACTCAAAAATTAAAAGACGGGAACGTTGTAGATTAAAGAAGATTAAAGAGGCGTGAGACATGTGCTTTGGCTGCATCCTTTATCAGGGGTTACAAGGCCACAGCACTTTTAAAACAATTGGGAAATTCAAACATGAGTTGCGTAATAGATTTTTTAAAAAGGCAAAAAGCACCTTGCCTATAGAGTCCATTTATAAAGACCCCGAGGGACAGAGTGGACTTGCCTCACAGGGTGTCCGAGGCTGCCATGTTTGCAGAAGCAGACTGCACAGCTTTCTCCTCCGCGCGGTAATGGATTTGAACATTCTGGGTAGCAGCCTAGCAGCTGATGACATGACCTCTAGGATAGTATTAGTGTTATCTTTTTGAGTCTGATAAAGAGGGGGATGATGGCCACGTAGAAGTGCCGAGGCTGTAACCTGGTGAGGTGCCACAAGACCTGCCAGCCACCTGCTTCTGGACAGATAGGCCAGGGTGCAGAGATGTGTGTGCACAGAGTGTGTGTGCACACATGGTACAGTGTGACACACACAGGAAAAGCAGTTGGATCTGCTGAAGGTGTGCTTGCCAAACCTCATTCCTTTATATTGGCTGTTTGTTTCCTGTGTTGTTGTTTTTCATCCCTCCTGACTGTAGAAGTAATGGTTGTTGATTCACATCATTGGGAAACTAGAAATAGTGCCCCTGCTTGTGCCTATAGCGATTGCTAACATTGAGTCAAATTGCAATCCAGCTGTATATATCATTTCCTGTCTCCTCTTCTTCATTACTATGTTGTAAACGTCCCCCCCCCCCAATAATTGAATGAATGTCTTTGGAAACATGGTTTTTAAGGTCTTCATACTTTTCCTTTATATATTCCAACATACACTTAGTGCACATTTGAAGCCTGTGGACTTTTCCATAACTTAATATCTCTGTAATGCATATCCATATTCGAAGCACATATCCATATTCTGCATCTCCCTTTTTACTTAAGATGTACTCGTACCAAGGTATGAGGTGTAATATTACCTATTATGAAAATTATTTGGCAATGTCACATAAGATGGCAGTATGTTGAAACTAATTATACCTAAAATGGCACCTGTGATTTGTTAACTAGAGTTATGATGACAATTTGAATGAAAATGGAACTGGAGGAGTAAAAGTTGATCCAGAAGATACCAATTTAAACCAAGACAGCGCCAAAGATTTGGGAGACAGCCCCCAAGAAAACAACAGTGTCACCAAGACCACTGAACAGTGTGACAATCCAAAAAGTAATACTAAAAGGTGAGTCCAAATAAATTAATTCAAAAATAAATACATAAAAGGTGAGTCAGGGTTACTTAGTGTTTCCTGTGAAATTTTGATGTCATTAGTTACATTTCTTACAGTTTATCAACATTCTCTTTAAATGTGTCCTGGCTGCTCCATTGCCTAGGGAGCTAGGGGACTCGAGTTTCCCCAGTTCAAGGTGTCTTAAGGTGAGAGTCTCAGGGAATCCTCTTGTCTCAACTGGTCTAAAAGTCTGGGTTTTTAAAGAATTTGAGTTCTGTTTCCTGTTTTTCCTCTGGTTCTATTAGGTCTATCTGTTGTGGCTCTGATCAGGATGGTTGGTCCACAGGAGCTGGGTACCACCTCCTTCAAATAATTCTGGTCTCTGGGTGGATGGGACCCTGGTGCGTGTAGGCTATTAGCCCTATAGACTAGTGTGCTCTCTGAGACTTGAGTTTCCTTCTTTCTCTCTTGTTGCTAATGAAGAGATACAGTTGTATCTTTGATGGCAGCTCTCCCCAAAGTTTTGAGACTGCAGATGCCACTCATGTGATGTCAGTTGACTAAGTTGTCCCACGAGAATAAGGCGTTAAGCCTTTGAACTCAAAACCATTCTTGCAAGTTGATTATGTCCGAGAAGGCTCTGTAACTGTGTCCTCTGTGGAAATATATGTGTGCACACGTCTTTATGTTAGTGTACACATAGATACTTCTTTTGTGCATGCCTTTGTGTAAACTTGTACTTACCTCTATACATGTTGGCCTAGGTATCTACACATGCTACTATACCCTCAATTTTGATTATTGTTGGTGGACTTGCCAAATTATATTGATGCAGACATCCTTTTATCTTGTCTGCTTCTTAGTGGCATCATTTGCTTTGATCATGCTGTGTTCTTACACCCACATTCTATGCTGGTCCCCCCTCTACTCCCCCTCCACCAAGAAAAAAATAACATGTCCAAGGGAGCTTAAAAGGTTTGTTGAAAAATTCCATTGTCGTTTTTCCACGACTTTATTGAAGCCCTCTTGGATTTATTTAGTGATTTTCCGTCACCCCTCTACTCTTCCTTGATAATCACCAGGGAACTTGGGTCCCTGTTCATATATCTATTCTTATCTTGTAGAAGTGGGATCATGCAGTATATATCCTTATGTGATTGACGTATTTCACTTTGCACAATGCCCTCCAGATCCATCCATGTTATGCTTCATGGGCTCATCGCTGTTCTTCATGATTTTGTAATATTTCATTGTATGTGCCATATTTTTGCTTATTTATTCATTTGTTGAGGGGGACTTAGGCTTTTTTCTTTTGCTATGGTGAACAGTGTTGCAATGAATATAGATGTGTACATATCTGTTTGTGTTACTCTTATTAGGTTTCTAGGGTACGTACCTAAGAGTGGGATTGGTTGATCACAGGGGAGTTAGATCTCTAGTTTTTCGATGAAACCTCACACTGTTTTTCATAGTGACTGTATTGTATTACAATCCCAATGCAGTAGATAAAGTTTTGTCTGTATTCCCCCGCCACCCCCCCCACACCTGCACCAATCTTTGTGATGTCTTAGAGACATATTGCAAAGAAGTGTTTGATGAAAAACCATTTCATGAAGCAGTATGTGATCAAAGGAGCCCTAGTGATTAGTGGTTACTTGTTGAGCTGTGATCTGCAAGTTTAGCAGTTTGAAACCACCAGCCAGCTCCTTAGGAGAAAGATGGGGCGTTCTACTCTTGTAAAAAGTTGCAGTCTTGGAAACCCACAGGGGCAGTTCTACTCTGTCCTACAGGGTCACCAGGAGTCGGCATTGACTCGATGGCAGTGAGTTTGTTTGGTTACGTGATCAAGAAACGAGACTGAAGGAAGAAGTTCAAGCTACACTAAATGCATTGGTGGAAAACAAGGCTCCAGGAATTGATGGGAATACCAATTAGGAAAGTTTCCATAAAGAGATGTAGCACTGGAGGTGCTCACTCATCTAAGTCAACCAACCAACTGGAAGAAATCCAATTTTATGCCCATTCCAAAAAAGATGACCTTGCAGAATACAGCAATTATCAATTATTAGCATTAGTGTCACATGCAATGAAGATTACTGCTGATGAAGATTACTCAACAAGAGTTGCAGCAGTATATCGACGGGAACTGCCAGGAAGGCAGGCAGGCTTCCAAAGAGGATGTGGAATGTGGGATACCATTGTCAGGCCTTAGCTGAAAGCCAAGAGTGCCAGAAGGATGTTTACCTGTGCTTTATTGCCTGTGCCAAAACTATGTGGGTCATGAGAGATTATGGATAGTAGTCTGAAGAGTGGGAGTTCCGGAACACTTAATTGTGCTCGGTTGCAGAACCTGTGCACAGACCAAGAGGCAGTTGTTTAAACAGAACGGGATACTGCATAGTGTAAAATAAGAGGATTGTGTCAGGGTTGTATTCTTTTACCATCCGTATCTAATCTGTATGCTGAGCAAATCATTTGAGAAATGAACTGTGTGAAGAACATGACATCAGGATAGGAGGGAGAAATTAATGATCTGCATTATGCAGTTACTTGACATAACAGAACCGCGCTTGCTGGAGGTGAAGATGACTACGGGAAGTACTTCCCGATGAAGGTCAAAGACTCCAGTCTTCAGTGTGGATCCCCCTGCATAGTGACCCTACATGGCTTTTCTTAGGCGGTCAATCTTTACTGGAGCAAATGGCCTCATTTTTCTTCCCTAGAGCAGCTGGTGATTTTGAACTGCTAAATAGCACCTGATAGCACCACTAGAATGGACTACACCTTAACGTAAAGAAAACAAAATCTTCACCACTGAACCAGTAAACAACAACATGAGTAACTGTGAAAACATCGAAGTTGTTAAGGATTTATGTTGCTTGGATCTACAGTCAACCTTCATGGAAGCAACAGTCAAAGCAACATATATTGCACTGGGCAAATCTGCAAAAGGAACCAAATACATAGCATTTTGAGACTGTGGCTTACTTAGCTTTGGTATTTTCAGTCGCCTCATATGCATATGAAAACTGGGTAACGAATAAGGTAGACTTGAGAAGCAGTGCCTTTGAATTATAGTTTTGACAAAGCATATAGAATATACCATACACTACCAGAATAATGAACAAGTCTATCTTGCTTGGAAAAAGAATAGCCAGAATGCGCTTAGAAGCGAGGCTTGCGAGACTTTGTCTCACATACTTTGGACCTGTTCTCTGGAGGGACCATTTCCAGGAAAAAGACAGCATGTTTGGTAAGGTAGAAAGAAGGGTAGCAAAATGGAAGAGCCCCCGCCCATAAGATAAATGGACACAGTGACTGCAGCAATGGGCCCAAACATCATCGTAATTACGAGAATGGTTTGGGACTGGGCGGTGTTTCGTTCTATTGCAGATAGGGTCAGTGGGTCAGAACCCAGTGGACAGCATGTACCAACAACAGCCACAGCCTGCTGGGAAGAGAATGCAAGAGGAATGTGCTCACAGACGTTTCAGCTACTTTAGACAGAAGCCCCTTATCCTGATAGGTTTCTGTCTTGTCCTGAGATCAGCAACCTGTCTTGTACAGGAGAACAAGGCTGCGGCCGCACCTGTCTCCCTCCCTAGCACTGGCAGACACTGGATCACCTTCCAAGAAGTTGTTTTGGAGGAACCACATTCAGTGGGATAGATTTTTTTGGTGTGTGACTGCTACTGGTTGCGGGTAAAGATGGTTTGCTTCAATAAACGACGGTTAAGTGAATTGAATTTTAACAAAACTCCCTGTCTGAAAGCTCAGGGATCTTTTCAGGATCTTATCTTAGCTTGCGTTTCAATGGTTGTAAGTAAATTACCTCATTCTTGTGCCAAATTTGATTTCTTCAAAGGTGTTCATTTGAACTGTGAGAATTAACTAAGGTCATTCTGATGAAGGAATTACTTTGGAATGCATCCCTCTTAAGTAATTAAAAGGAATACACGCTATTGAGCTTATGCTGCGTTATTTATTTTTCAGTGTTTCTAAACCCAAAGGAAAGAAAGCCAAAGATACCAAGAAACCTGCTGCCAGGGTGCCTGTCGAGTCAGAAACAATGGTAGGTCAAAGTCATGCTTGCCTGTTTCCGTGGCCCTTGCGTTTCAACAGTATAATGTCCTATCGATGCAAGTGGGTCCCTGGAACCCTTCTGCCGGAAAGCTTCTGCAAAGGAGTGGGTCCTGAACTATCACTTGGCAAATTTTGAATTTATATGTGTTAGTATTTTTTCTCTTTAAAATGCATGTTGGAAGTAATCAGAGTGTGTAGTAGAACAATTATTTTTGTTTTCTATAACTGAAATCTGAAGCTTTGGCGACTTAACTACTGTGTTTCTGATTTTGAAGATTAATTATGAAGCATAAATGATTCCTCTTTAAACTGTGGGGCACCTGCCACACTGATTGTTTTTTTGTTTTTTGTTGTTTCTTTTTAAAATCATCTTATTGGGGGCACGTACAACTCTTATCACAATCCATGTACCCATTGTGTCAAGCACATTTGTACATGTGTTGCCACCATCATTCTGAAACCATTTTCTTTCTGTGTGAGCCCTTGGGATCAGCTCCTCATGCCACACTGATTGTTGTAGGATTCTTGCTTACCTTTGTCTTGAAAGCTGCCTGCTTCAGAAGAACATCGTCCTTCTTTAATTGTTGGATGTGTCATCTCAGATTACGATATAAAGCATTGCTCTCGGAGAGTAATACTTGCTTTTATTTACCATTCTTTCCCTTCTCAGGGTGATGTCCCGATCAGCTGTTCAACCTGCCATGGCGAATTTCCATCCCGGAATAAGCTCTTTGAACATCTAAAGGCCACGGGTCATGCGAGAGCACTTTCATCATCATCATCTCTGAACAATGTAGCAGGTAGTCGAAGCAAGAAAGAAAAACGTAGAAACAGATAGGAATTCTTCAACACCTTTTCTTTTTGACTGTATTTAGTTTTCAAAACCAAAAACTGAACTGAAAACCATCTAAGGAGTTAAAATTTCAGTGATCTGCAATTTGTTGCATTGTGGAAGATTATTTTTTATCTTGTAAAAACTTTTTTGTTGTCTAATATATATTTTTAAACATTTCACTAGTTATTGACTGAATTCTGCTCTTGCTATTTGACTTGAATGTCTCAAAACTGGTAAATATTAAAAAAATGTGCATTCTTGATTTCTGTTGGCTCATGGACAGAAATGTACAGGGAAAATTAAATTATTTTAACACACACATATGCCCTTTTCTGTTTTATTTCTGTGAATTTCACATGAAATATCTAAAAAATGTATTAATGCTTTTGTCTTTTGATACACAGAAACGGAATTTTTAAAAAAAAATCATTTTATAGGGGGCTCGTACAACTTTTATCACAATCCATACATCCATCCATTGGGTCAAGCACATTTGTACATTTATTGCCATCATCATTCTCAAAACATTTTCTACTTGAGCCCTTGGTATCAGCTCCTCATTTTTTTCCTAACCTCCCCTACCCTCCCTCCCTCATAAACTCTTGATAACTTATAAATTATTATTATTTTTTTATGTCTTACACTGACCGATGTCTCCCTTCACCCACTTTTTTACTGTTTTCCCCCAGGGAGGGGGGTTATATGTAGATCATTGTGATCAGTTCCCCTTTTTCCCCCACCTTCCCCTTCCCCTCCTGGTATTGCTATTCTCATTATTGGTCCTGAAGGGATCATCTGTCCTGGATTCCCTGTGTTTCCAGTGTACATCCTCTGGTCTAGCCGGATTTGTAAGGTAGAATTGGGGTCATGATAGTGGGGGGGAGGAAGCATTAAAGAACTAGAGGAAAGTTGTATATTTCATTGGTGCTATAGTGCATCCTGACTGACTTGTCTCCACCCCACGATCCTTCTGTAAGGGATGTCCAGTTGCCTACAGATGGGCTTTGGGTCTCCATTCTGCACTCCCCCTCATTCACAATGATATGATCTACACAGAGGGATTTCTAGAAATTTGTGAGGAAAAAAAATTAAAAGTTATGAAAATTTTCCAATAATTTTTAAAAATTTAATTAAATAATCATTTTATTAGGGGCTTATACAACTCATCACAATGTGTACATACGTCATTTGTGTCCAGCACATTAGTACATATGTTGACTTCATCATTCTTACAACACCCGCTTTCCACTTGAGCCCTCCAAGAATTTTTTGACGTCCACACATACGTATGTCTGCACACACGTGAACACCAAGGTTAATCTGCTAGGGTTCCAGTTCATGCATGCATGGGGTCAGGTTTAAAAAGCGCAGACAAAACTTGTTCAATCCCGTCTGTGTTCATTAGCTTAGATGGCTGCAGACAAGTTCTCTGAGGCACACATTTGTATCATTCTCATTAGAGAGCCTTTAAAAAGAGGCCTGTGTTAAGCCCGGTGGACTAGAGAAATAAATCCAATGACACATATTTGCATAAGACAGAGCTTTATATCAATGAGTAATTGTGCATTAAGAAAACAGCCCAGCCCAGTCCAGATCAAGTCCATAAGTCCAATTCTAGTCCATAAATCCCTATAAAGACTCACGCAGCACATGCAATGATGCAAAATGCAGGAAGATCACAGACCTTCGGGTGTAAAGTCGTCTAGATCTAGTGGCAGAGGGAGCATCTCCGCGCTCTTGCAGGCCTGTGTTGCTCCATGTGGCTTATCAACCGGAAGGTGAAGCAGAGAGGCTGGCCTTCAGCAAGCCATTTATCCTGGTTGCCCTTCAAACAAGCTGCAACTTGATTGACAGGCTAACCTCCTCCCACATGTTGGCACCAAAAAACCTATCACAAGTGCCAGTTAAAACAATATCTTCCAAGAGGATGGATCCCGTCAAAGTCAAGCTCAGAAGATTATGGTGAGTGTAATCTGGAATTCCAATGCGGGAGATCGTGATAGATTTTCTTGAAGGACACAAAATGATTATGAGGGCTTATGGAGTTTTAAGAAAATTGAAAATTAGAAAATTGCATTGACCAGGAAGGTTGTGCTGAGTAATTGTCTTCCATCACAATCTTTGTAGGGTAGATGGACTGTCCTATGAGAATTTTGTTGGGAAGCCTTACCCCAACTACCCTTCTGCCTTAGCCTTGCCCCTTCAGACTTCTTTTTGTTTCTCAAATATAAAGAAAACTTAAAAAGCGCAGCACTTGAATCTTTCAGGGATCCAAAATCTGTCTGACGTGTAAATCAAAGAGCCGAACATTCTAGTAACACATCATCAGAAGTGTTTTGACCTCGATGGGAGATAGGCTGAACAACAGTAATGTCTTTTTGATATTTTTGTTTAATAGAGGTTTCTATGATTCAAGCCAGGTTGAGATGGGGATGTGGAACGAGAGATAGCATTTCTGGTGTTTGATGGATCTTGGCTGAAAGCAGAGAATACCAGAGAGATGTTTACCTGTGTTTATTGACTATGCCAAGGCATTTGGTTATTTAGATCACACAAATTATGAATGATATTGCGAAGAACAGGAATTCCAGAACACTTGAATGTGCTTATGAGGAACATGTGCATAGACCATGAGATGAGTGAGTGAACAGAACAAGAGAATATTTTGTGGTCGGTGTCAGGATTGTATCTACTCACCATACTTGCACAATCTACGCTGACCAAATAATCCAAGAAGCTGGACTATATGAAGAAGGAGGCATCAGAATTGGAAGAACGCGTCTCATAACTTGATACAACTTTACTCGCTGAGAGCAGAGAGGACTTGATGCACTTATAAAGACTACAGCTTTCAATATGGCTTGCACCACAACATGAAATTTTCCTCACAGCTGGGCCAGTAAACATTACAGTCAAGAGGAAGGACTGAAGTTGTCAAGGATTTCTTTTTCCTTGGCTCCATAATCAACACCCATGGAGGCAGCCGTGAGGAAATCAAATGTATTGCATTGTACAGATCTGCAAAAAGAACTTTTTCTTAAAGTGTTGAAAAATGAAAGGAGCTTTGAGGACTGAGGTGAGCGTAACCTAAGCCAGGGTATTTTCAATCATCTCATAACATGGGAAAGACCGACGGAAGAACGAAGACCCAACAGACAGTGGGATGTTTGAACTAAGGTGTTGGCAAAGGGTGTTGACAAGCTCATGGACTCCCAGATGAAGTACAGCCAGAATGCTCCTTCGGAGGGAGGATGGCAAGACTTCTCCCATGCACTTTGTACATGTTCCTGGGCACCAGGCTTGGCAAAGCAGAGGGCTAGGCAGGTAAAAAGAGGAAGACCTTCATAATTACGGGTTAATAGCAGCTGCAGCCGTGGGCTCAAATGTAACAACGCTTATGAGGATGGCACAGGACTAGCATTATTTTGTTCTGTGGTACCTGGAATCATTAAGAGTTGGAACTGACTCCCTGGTACTTAATAACAGCTCCAGTGTTTTTGTAGCAGTCGGTTTTACTTACACATATTTCCTCAAGGAAAATGATGGAAACAAATTGAACAGATGTGCTTGTGTTTGGAAACCAACAACTCAAGGTACAAGTATGATTCAATTTGGGAGTTTATGGTTCATCCTCAATACGGTACGTCTTTGGCCTTCTCTGGAGGTAAGTGGATCCAAATTGATTTCTAGAGTGCTTCCCTCCTGGGCGTAATGACTGCTGTGAAGTATAATGGGATATGCTAACAGATGGTTTCAAGTTTCATGCTTTTAGAACAAAGCTTCAATGGGTCTTTTATTTCATTATTTTCAAACGTTTTTAAATTTTGTTTTTCCCAACAGTGGAGGAAAAAGATTTTAAATAACACTAAAACCAATCACTGTAGTAAGGACGAAAATATATATATATAAATCTGGAGATTGTGATAATGGAGTCTTATCTAGTACATTGATCAGTTTTCAGATTGTGTCAATTTTTAGGTTTGATTAATAGGCAATTCTTAGGAATGACCTTGAAAGTAACTTTAAGTTCAGTGGCTGGAAATACATACTTTTTTATTTTAAATCACTTTATTGGGGGCTTATACAATTCTTATCACAATGCATCCATCCATCCATTGTGTCAAGCACATTTGTACATTTGTTGCCATCATCCTCAAAACATTTGCTTTCTTGGTATCATTTGAGCCCTTGGTATCAGCTCCTCATTTCCCCCCTCCCTGCTCTCTCCTCCCTCATGAGCCCTTGATAGTTTATACATTATTATTATTATTTTGTCATATCTTAAACTGTCCGACGTCTCTCTTCACCCACTTTTCTGTTGTCCATCCCCCAGGGAGGCGGTTATATATAGATCCTTGTAATTGGTTCTCTGGAAATACATGCTTTTTGTCCACTGGAATTCTTTTCTTAAATCTTGGGATCTTTGTCTGTGTATAAATTCTAAAGCTCTCGTTCATAATGATGTTTTCCTGTCAGAATGTCTGAATGCCTCAGCACCATTGATGTGGCTGGTCATTCTGTGTTAGTGACTGAAGCGTTTCAACCGTAACATTTTATTTTTCCTTTGCCTTCTAATTGTTTTTAGGCCCTCTTGTTCCTGCTGTATTTTTTGACTTTCTGTCTTCTGTTCTGTTTGTCGCTGGATGGCCTCATCTAAAAATTCTTAATATTTGAACTGATAAATGGGCCTTAATTATGAATAGGACTATAAATGAACAGGAAGCCATAATGACATGTTACACAGTCTAAAATAAGTCATCATCAAAAGCAGAGGACTATTCTTCAAAGATTCATCAGACTTACTTGTCTAAAATTTTTGTGGCAACATACAGGAAACATATATCCAATCACAGTTTCTTTTTTTTCTTCATAATTCCTACATGAACAGTCCAATGTCATCGGTTACATAGTTCACGTGTCATCATTTCACTCTACCAATATCGCTACACAACCGTGAGGTAGGTTCTCTTCCTACATTCCTCTTCTGTGCTTGGGATGAACTATTATCCAATTAACTCTTGAATAATTGGTTTCAAGCACATTATGCTCCGGGAAAACACTTTTTATTTATTACCTAGTTGGGTTAAACTGTTATATAATTGTTGCTTCAAATGATAGTTTCATTTTAAGGTTTAGAGATTATTTCTGAGCATTAGCATCATAGTTTCTCCTGGACGCAAAGAATCCAGTAAATCTCTTTTCCGTATGAGTTTGGAATTCTGTTTTATACTTTTCTCCTTATGATCAAGGTCCATCTGTTTGGGTCCTCAATCAAAATGTTCAGTACTCATAGCCAGGCATCATGCATGTTTTCCTGATTC